GATAAAAAGGATTTATACTGTAAGAGAACTCACAATGACAACTGATCTTTCTCCATAAATTAGGAACCAAATTACAGGTGCTTTTTATTTAAAAAGATATGCAAGAATACCACATCAATCCTGCACCCTCTTTCTCAGCAGTAAAGCTGTATCCTTAGATGGCATAAATGGAATTGTGCCAATTACCAGCTAAGGCCTTGGCTTAGATCTTCAACGGAAACTGTAAACACCTTTAGCTCTTATAAAAAGAAATAAGCAAATACCTTTGTATCTATCCAGCTCAGTGCACAGGCTCTGACTTGTACTTTCACATCATTGTCTCTTGTGGGAGGAAGGTTTTCCTAGGACAGATTTACAGAGGTTATATTATACAACGCAACATGAGTATGCTGCTAGGATCCTCTCAAGCTCTTGAAAGCACTTTTCCACAGCGTCTTTGTTTTAGATTGTTTTGTAGTCAGAACAAGAAATTCTTTTTCAGTGAAAAGGGAGCTGATATCACAATGGATTTACAACACCATTTTCAGTACAGGTAGATTACTATTGCAAACTGAACACTAGACCTTACTAAAGCTCAACAAGACAAATTATTTTTCTGTTGGGTTGGGTTTCTCATAGGCTTTTTTTTTAGTTGTGGTGGGGTTTTTTTTGTTTAACACAAGTTAAATACCATACCTTTATCTGAAATTATTTTCCTATGTAATTATCCCCCTAATGTCTAACAAGCAGAACGGAGCAGCTCTTTAATATTATAAGTATGTTGCAAGAGTGAGGGAGAATTTTAAGAGAATTTTGACATGAGCATCTGACATACTGTACTGACAAACTTGCTGAGTAGTCCAGATGGTGTCAAAGAAACAGCACTGATAAGAATTTGTGTTAAGTTCCACAAATAATAGCTAACTGCTCTGCTAATGAAGCCTCCCCTTACTATTTCAACTCTTGTTTCTGGGATTGATATCTGAAATTATTTTAAGTAGTTGATTACTGCTGCTGTGAATTAGTTAAATAGCCAAGATAAGTTCTGGACTGCTGACTCCACACAGCTATTGAAGAGCTACCTCAGATACCGGAGGCAAAATCATGTATTTCCATGCTATACATAGACTGCGTTGTAGTTGTCCATTGGAACTGAAACACTTACCATTAGAGTACTTTGTTTCTACCTTTGAAGTTAAGTTACATTCCTAAGTGTTTAAGCTTTCTTTGGTGTTTCTTTTTTTTTTTTTTTTTTTTTTTTTTTTTTTTCAATCTCTTCCCAAGAAACAGCTGTTGCTTTTCTCCTAGGCTTAGCAACATGAGCAGTAACCTCTGTCCAAGGAACATTGAGCTGAACTTTTTCTTACCCCAGCTGAGTTAAACATGCTGTTCCTTTAAAACTGCAAGGCATTTTGCCAAACTGACCTCCTGCTCCTCAAACAAACCAAAGTGGGTTCTTACTCTTTGTTCCACAAAACAGAAAAGCCATTAAACTGTTAAGCTATATGAATACCACATCTCTGGAAAAAAAAAAAACAAACAACAACAACTAAGGGACTTGTGTAATTTATAGAAATTTACGATTATATTGTCTTTTGGAACTATCCTTTTGGTATGCATACCTCAATGAACCCAAGTACTGCTACAATGTACGTAATAGAATTGCTTTTCTTTATAAAAGAATGCAAGTCTTAAGAACAAAAAGAGACCATGAATAACAATTCATGTTTGTGCTGTTAACTGGTTCCTGCCTTCATAATTTAAGTATGTCATTATTAGGAACTGGCCAAGCACCACGTAAGGAAGGTTTGCTATGGAAATTCTTCAACCAAGTTACTGACCTTATCCACCTTCTGTTGTACTAAGCTCTCCTCAGCCAACTAGCTTTCTTTTTCCTCACTTTTTTTCAGTATTTATTTCTATTTAAGATGATTCTATAGTGCTGGTCATTACACAAACACCTGCAGAATCACTTCCTGTCTGATGAGATTTGAATAGGTAATTAAGCAGACAAGGTCTATGTGCAGGAGTGCAGTTTCAAGATCTACTTTAGCTTACCTAAGACCGTACCAGAGTCATCTGGCTAACCTGTTGCCAGCATCCACATATTCCTATCCCCTCTTTTGTGCTGGAGGTAGCAATCTTGGAGCCACCACAACAACGTGAACTAACTTGTTCACATGACCAGTTCTCACCTGGATAAGTAAGCTGATCTAGCTCATCTTATAGCTACGTGACTCCTAAAACCATTACAAGGAAGAGAACAAAAATGTGCCACTGAAAGGTGAACAGGCCTTTACAGCAAAAGCACAATTACACAAACAGTTTAAGTAGATCTAAGATTGCTCCATGAATACCTTGGTAGTATCAACATCACCCATCTCATTGCATTTTTCTCTTCAGGCGGTTTGTTAGATGTGCTTCATTATTGGGACTATGCAGCTGCTCAAGCAAGATTCTCACCAGTACTATATTGTTTCATTTTGATCTATGGCTTGTAGGTATATTTAGGTATCTGTATTGCACAGGTGTACATAGGTATCTATAGTAATTTATTTTGTACCTATAAGAGATTTAAGAACACAGGTTCACATCCTCAGAACCAAGCATTTTTGTACTGTTCAGACACCCACTGCATCAGTATACACTTACTGACATACTATTTTAGCCTTATGCCCCAAGCTCATGTGTAAACATTAATTGGATACCTGTGTACATCAAACTGACAAAGACTCTAGCGCAATAGTTTCAGCTAAATTTGACAGAAAATTTGTTGTCTTCTTGTTGTTCCTTTAAGTTGTTGGAAAACAGGTAGTTAGACAAAGGAGACTTATCAATGCCTCTGAGCAAAAGGCTGCACTGTGATCTCAATCCTCACTAGAAGCAAAGAACTCACAAGCAGAAAGAAAATAACAATAGGAACACTCCAAACATGATAAATTTCTCAAGCTATATTTCTACTTTTTCAGTGACCAGAAAACCCAATCAGGAGATGTGAATCCATATGAAGCCAGAGCTCATTTGTTATGCCTGCAAAACTTGTTTTTAAGGCATGGACACTAGAACTGCACAGAGAAATCTAGCACTTGTCTTGCCAAGTGCTGCACGATGATGGCAAAATACACATACCACATTTCCATTTACCCGTCTGTGTGTGCAAAGATTATACCAGGGTTTTTTTAAGTCTACAGAAAAGTTAGGTGTTCCAATTCCCACATGGCATTCAGCCATATTCTTTTTATCCACCGAATCATTTAGCAGTGCTATTATGATCAGAACTCACTCTTTCCTGGAAGACAAATGTCATTTCCTCTCCAGATGAATTCTGCTGACAATACAAGGCCTTCATAGTTATCTGAAAAAAAGACACGCAACCGAACTGTAATAAATGCAGTTATCTGTAGAACAAACAAGTAACTAAAGCTTTACATTACTTTACAAGCAGAACAGTGATTGTTTGCAAGCAACACAGGGCCTATGAGTCCTTCCAACACAAGTTCTAAAACAGATCAAGAGATAAGACAAGATACAGTGTTACCTGCAACACATTACATAAATACTGTTGGTGGTAATGTAGCAAATCCTACGGACTGAGGATGTACAGCGAGAGGCAATGAATGATATACAGGATTTACCGATTGGCTGTCCAGTGCTTGGGTTGTTTGCCACCAAGGCTGGAAGGTGCACAGTTTGAGTAGCTCAGACAAAGGCAGCGCAAAGGGCAATACAACCAGTGCAGGAATACAAGGAACCTTACTTATGACTTCGCTAAAAATCACAACTTTGGGTTTTGGTCTCCTCTCCCAACTTGGCATATGCTGTCCTCAACAAACAAGAGCCTTTTGGAGAGAGAGGAAAAAAACAGTTAAAAAAGAGGCTCTCTTCAAGTTACAGGGGAAAGAAAATCACAGAGCAGAGAGGCAGAAAACCACTATATTGCTTCTGGCAGCCAACACGAACACCTCAGGCTACACCCGAGATCGAAGCGACTGCCCCGAGACACCTCGCCGTTCAGAGAGGCGGAGCAGCGCGTGCAACCGGGGCCCAGCACAACCCCGCAGGGAGCCCCGGGCTGGGTGGTACCGGGCCGCTTCACCTGCCTCTCGGCGCACGTTCCCCCCCGAGGGCAGCCGCCCGCTTCCCTTAATGCCCCCAGCCAGGCCACTGCCGTTACGCCGGTGCTTTACCACACCGGAGAGCAGCTGGGGTTGAGGGAAGGCGCCCTCGCCTCACCCGCCTCCGCACCGCGCCACACGCAGCGCCGCGGCAGCCCCTCAGCACCCACCGCGGAGGAAACCGGCGCGAAGACGACGCCAAACGGACGGGTGCTCCAACCCCACCCCGGGCACCCAGCTGGAAAAGCCGCCGGGAAGCGCCACCACCCCCGCGCGCAGCGGTTGCCATGACAAACCGTTACTTCCGCCGCTGCTCCCCCACCTCGGCGCCCCTTCCGCCGAGCGCGGGCACCACCCCGCCCCACGCCCCGCTGCCCAGCGTGGCCCCACGGCAGCCCGTGATTGGCCAGGACGGCCGCCACTCACCGCAAAAGCGGGGGCGGGATTGGCTAGGGTGGCTGTCGTTCGCTAGGAGGGGGCGGGATGAGGCCCCTCCCAGAGACTACGCGGCCCAGCAGGCTGCGCGGCCCCGCCCGTCGGGCTCACAGCGTCCGTGACCTCCTGGGAGCGGGGCCGGTGGCCGGGACACGAGTTGGGGCGGGGTTTGAGGGAAGAAGAGACGCCGCCTCGAATTACCCTTGTGCAAAATAAAGGGACCGCCTGCCCCCACTGGCATTGAGGAGGGAGTCCAGTCACCCCCTTTCTCCCCTGCGCCCTGACCTCCCTCGGCGCGAGAGAGGGCCCGGCCGAGCTCGGATTGGCCGGAGGAGGCGGAGTCCCCGCGGCCTTCCCGGCTTCTGATTGGTGCCATTTACCTGCCAGTCGTGCAGAAGGGGCGTGGCGGAGCAAGGAGGGAGGCCGCTGCCGCGCGTCAGTACGGCGGCTGTGAGGGCGAGCGCGAGCCAGGGCCCCCCCCCCCCCCGCCGCCCGCCAGACGGTGGCTGAGGAGGCAGCGGGAGGGGATGGTGCGTCTGGCGGAGGCGGCGGCGGACACCGCTCCGGCTCCTCCATCCCCTCCGCCGTCGCCATGGGTGTGAGCAGGGCCCCCCGGCCCGCGCAGATATGAGGTACTGCCCGGTAGCGGCGGTGGGAGAGGATGGGAAGGGAAGGGGAGGGGGGGCAAACACGACATGGGGGATGAGGACCCTCACTGGGAGGGGCGACGGTTCAACCCAGGCCAACGACGGCCCGCGGGGGGGGGGGGGGGGGGGGAGGGAGCATCGGCGTCTCTGCCCTGTGCTGCCTTTGCCGCCCCGGTACCGGTAGCCGGGCGTGTCCCGGTGGTCGGGCCCGCTGACAGGCACCGGGTGCCGGTACGGAGGCAGGCGGCCCCGCTTCTCCTCCTCCTCGTCTCCCCTCAGTAGCCGTGGTCGTCGCCGGTGCGGGCGGCCCGCGGGTGGGCGCGGAGCCGTAAGGCGGGATGCGCCCGCCGTGCGGGTCCAGCGCCGGCCACTGCGCGCTGGCGGGGGCTTGCCGCTGCTTGCCTTCCTCGGGCCGGCCCTTCATTTATTTATTTATTTATTTCCCCCCCACTATTATGCTTATAATTTTTATCGGTATCGCACTGGGGTTGGGTTTCGCAGCTACGGGGTTTTTTTTTTTTGCGGGCCGGAGGAAAGCGGGGCAGCGCGGCGGGGGGGAGCGCCCCGGTTGGTGTGCGCTGGCTCGGTGATAGCACAGCCCTCGCCGTCACAAGACAGCCATCGCTCCCGGAGGGAGCCGTGTCCCGGCCACCCGTGTCCTCCGGGGGAAAAAAAAATAAATCCCGGACGTGGAATGCGCAAGGGTGGGTTGCGCGGTTTGCCTTTACCGCGTTAAGTAACGATTATTCCTGCTGCCTCCGTCCTCTTCGCTCCCTGCCCCTTCGGCGCAGGCAGTCCGCCCTGGTGCGAAGGGAAGGAAGGAGGAATGCCATCCCTCACTGCTTGGAAAGGGCACACGACCAATTGAAGGAGGGAATGTTGTCAGGGCGTCAGGAAAAGGAAACGGGTACACGGTCGGGTTTTTATCCCTTCATTTCTGTTTGCCTCGGGTTAGCAGACAACTTTGTGGATGATATTTCCTGTGGATATCTTTTGTTCTGATTCAGCTGCTTCTTTATTTCAAAAGAAACGAGGGGTTTGTTTTTAGAAAACAATATATTCTGTGAACTCTACCTTTCTGTGGGGTGAGAATGTCACGGTAGGGAAAATAGATCATTAGTGAATATTGTTTAGTAAATAATTTTTGTTAGTAAAATAACTAGCATTCCAGATGTGATAGTGTGGTACTCATTAAAGCAAGAAACACTGTTTTCCTCTACCTTTTCCCACCACCCAGTTCTAAAGTCTGCTTTTTGTTTAAAGCTTGTATGGCAATATATATTTGAGGTAATAGCTATGCATTTTAACAAAATATTTAAGTCAAACCTGCAAATGCATGCATTTTTTCCTAAAACAAAAAGCCAAGCTGTGTATTTTAAGTACTGATGACTCTGGAGGGTGTTAGACTGTGCAGTGTTATTCCACACTGTCTTAGACAACCTTTCTTTCTTTCTTTTGCCTTTTTGTGCTAGTTGCCAGTAACTTCCCTTGGTAAATATTGACTGGGTGATGTTTTCATACAGTATACTTTTTTTAGATACCAGTGAATTAATTATGGAATTCTTCTTTCTGTTTTAAATTCTCACACTGCATCTCCAAAGCCCTATTTGAGGGGGTGAGGTATGGAAGGAGGAGTCTTGCATGTCAGCTGTATTCAGATTTCCAAGTACAGGAGTGGGGGGTATACTTGTGGATGATGAGGAGGTGTACTGATTGCATATAGAAATACAGGTAAAGAAAACAGTTGCGTTCTTTTTGTTAACTTGTAATTTAAGATACGCAGTCATCTATGTTTAGGCGTGCATGTAAGGCAAAGCAGCTTGAGCCATTTTAGCTTGCGTGATTAGCGCTTGTACGCTCTCACTGATTTTGGCAGCTTTACAGGGGTCATGTTTCATACAGATGAACTGTTTCTGAACAGTTTCTCCAGTGTATTAGGCTCAAACTTCATTTGAGCTGAGCAGGCTGCTCTTTGCACTTGCTGCTTCACAAACCACACTTAATTCTTTCAGTTCTAGTGTTCCCTCTATAATATCCCACTGTCTTCCATGCCAGATAAGACCCTTTGCAGAGTAGCTGTGTTTTCTTGATAATTTTCCTTTATATTCTGGTTCAGTGGAGTAACTACTCAGATACAGTAAAATAAGATTTGGTATCTCAAAATAAACCAATGACCTGCAGTGCCTGTTCTCTCTCTTGCTGCTGTTAGCTGTTTGGTGGAAAGTCTGCGTGCTCTTTCCTTAATACCTCTAATTATGCAATTAGGATAGATTTGGATTCAGGAAAGAATGTGAATCTAGCAATTAAATAACTCTAAATGATGCTGTTGAATAGCCTTTTCTGGTCTATCATTGTACTGTATTTATGGATTGTAGTTTTAGTTTTTAGTAGGATAACACTAGAGAAAAGTAGAATGTAAGACATCTGTTTGTAGAATAAAAATAAAAAAGTTAAGGAAAATGTAAGCAATGGCTTAAGGAATGAGGAGATCATCATGGAGAGTTATCAACTATGAACATTTGTTTCTGCTGGCTGTAGTAATAGAGTAGAAAAAATCATAAGTAGACAGATTGGTTTGTAGTACACATTTCAGCTGGGAGTGGCTCAGTAGTTAACCTACGTGGAACCAGGGAGATCAGACATTTATTTTTCTAGTATTTAACTATAAAAATAAACCAAAGGTAGCTTCTCCTCTTGTTGTCTGCTAGAAACTTTGAACGCCCATTGCTATTGTATTTAATAGAGCTGCTGAACTTGAAATGCCCCCTACACAGTAAGTTGATTTTGTTTTTACTTGCATAGCATGAAATTGGGTGGTGTGGTAGACAATTAGAAATTCCATCCAGTCTGAGATGTAATGATAAATTACTTGTGTATATAAACCCTTGCTGTGAGGTGCTAAAATTTCAGTATGATATGTGGCAAAAGTAGTTACCCTTTTTTTTTAAGAGTACACTTCCTAAAATAAAGAAAGAATATAGCAGATTCCATATTTTTGGGTGGCATTTCTGATGCAAAAGGTGCATTTTTACAATATTCCCTTCATTCCAAACAGTCAAAATGCAGAAAATTTTAATGACATAGCACATACTTGGTTTGTTTTCCTCATATTAAATGTATTACACTTACATATGTTGGATACTATATTTTATTTTTTCATGGATTTTTTCTAAGGTAATTGAATTAATTACTGCTAATGTCATTTCAGCGGTCGTCTTTCCTTTTCTCTGTAAAGTCAACTTTTTGGAAGTGTTTTATGTGTCTGGAATTTTGAAATAATCATATTATTAATATCCCAAAAACCTAAATCACTCCAGTCTATTCCTCTTTCTCAGTAGTTCTCAATCTTGCATCCCCTGCTCTGTCTCTTGTGGTTGTGCATACCCACAGGATATTTGTAGTTACCACAGTTTTGACAGTTGAAGTCTAAATATTATGGATTTAGAAGAGTTAAGTGTTTGTGTGATGGCAATCCTTGAAAATCATGGGCTTGATGGTATGTTCTAGATAAATACACTAGTACTAATAGTATAGACTTGCAAGTCCTAGTAGCACTATTAAAATAATTTCACTGAAGACCTGTTGTCTCAGGAGTTCAGGTTTGCTTTTGTATTTTGATGGGTAGCTCCTTCTAATTTCCATGGAGATTTTCTACTGAAGTATTGTTTAAGGATCTGGACCTGAGGATGACTATCTACTGCAAATGACTGGACAGTGGTTTATCTTTTCATCATTTCAAGATACAGCTTTACTTTCTCCATATTAAATGCACGATTTGTAGGTAATAGTCATATACTTCCAAAATACACAGAACACCTGGGCTTTAATTTATGGTTTCTGGAAGAGGGTTCATGGAGAGCCACCTGAAATGGTTGGAACTTCTCTGCAGGACACAATGAAACTCACTTGTACCATGTTGCTTTCTGTACTTTCATACATAATTGTAAATAATATTTACAACAATTATATATACCTGTGAAATAATTAATGAGCTATATATGAGGACTTATTTATGGTATTTAGAAAATTTCTAGCTTAAACCACACATAATAAATCGAAAGTAGTATCTTTGGACCACTTTACTAGTTAGCTGCCCTACTTATCTTTTAGACATACTTTCTAAAGATGTTTTCCAAAAGTAACTACCAGACTTTACAAGCAGGACTAAAACAATGGAAAGCGAAGTTTTTAATGGAAATACATACTTCATAGTAGAAACTTACAGCACGTGTGATTCTAGCTGGGAGCAGGTAGTCTGGGTTTCCCAACATCTTGACAGCTAACTGCAATTTTTAATCTTCTGTTCCCCAACTTTTTAAAGAAACAGGCAGTCAGTTTCTGTGACTGTTTGGTGTTATGATTTGTATGTGTTTTTACTGAGCAGTGTTAGACATAGCTAAATTACCTTCATTGTATTAACTGCCCACAGATATCTTCAAGGGAATTTTTAAGACTTGAAGGACTAAAACAATCAGTTCTGCATTAAAATTAAAGCTGTATGTTTGAGCGCTTACTGAAGACACTGAGTGGCAAATAATGCAGAACACAGATTTCTAGTATCTCAAATCTGACAGCCAGAGTTTTTGTACTGATAACTTTATTAGGGTTTGAAGACCCCCACTATAATAGCTTACCAGCAGGCAGCTTGCCTCGGCTTTGTCCTTGCTTTGTGATTGGAGGCATCTGTAGAACCCTATTAACATTTTGAGGTAAAGACTGTATGGTAACTCTTAAAAGGGACAGTAATTGTTTTAAGCAATCAGTTGCAGTTTTGAAACGTTACAAAGTAGTTGGTTTGTCAATAAATGTAATAATAAATAATAAATGTGCAACTGAAATTGTTGCATTCCTACTGTGATTCTTCAGGCCTTCTGAGATGTGAAGGTACCCATGTCAGAGTTGCATTGGAGAAACAAGAGCTGTTATGCATTTCTGATAGTACTTTTAAATCTCTCAGTGTGAGTACCTAGAAACAGTATATTAGA